AACCAAACTGAGACAAACCTGCACAAAAAACTACCGACTCCAATCCTTACCTCCCCCATTCTTCAAACCATCCCAAACATATATTCCCTCCTGTGGTCTATAGTGGTGCACTTAGACTCCACCGAATTTGTTCCCGTAAAACGTCTTTTAAGCAACGGATAGAGGAATTCACAGTCAACCTTCTTCATAGTGGATACTGCAAAATTTTTATAACTCCCATTAGGGAGAAAGTCAGCAAATTGAACCGTGCAAACCTTCTGACCTACAAACCCCTTAAGCCGAAACAGAAAAGACCATTTGTCGTCATAACTCATCTAAAAAAACTACCCCATGTACATAAAATCCACCTCCAACATAAAAACATTTTGGAAAAATCAGACAAAATGAACGCCTGTTTCCCCGATCCCTTCCTGGTTGCACTTCAATAGCCCCCTAATCTTGGAAACCTCCTCATTAGCACTAGAGCAGTAACACCCACATCCTCACCTCCGATAAGCCCTTGTACCCGACCTCAAAATTACCCTTGTCAAAATCCTAGATGCAAAACATGTGCTGACATGAAAGTGGCCAACTTTGTAGAAGGCCCCCATTTCATAAGAAAACTTTCTTACAGCATCACCTGCGAAACCAAAAAGTAATTTACCTCATATCATGCAAAGTCTATCCAGCCCAATATGTAGGCCAAACTACCACCACACTTAGAGCTAGGTTTAATAACCATAGGTATTCAGTACAGAAAAACTCCTGCACACCAGTCGGCCAACATTTCAACAGTCCTGGTCATAATGGAGCCTCCGATCTGCAGTTTCACGATATTGAAATAGTTCGACATCCTAGCAAAGAGACCCTCAATCAAAGATAATCAATGTGGATTTGGAACTTGGGGTCTCACCAAATTCCCACTGGCCTTAACATCGACGAGCCACTTATCAGGGACCTTAAATTTACCACGTAGGGTACTAATTACCTCTTGTATTCCAGTACCCCCCCTCCCCCTTTGGCCCGTGACTTTCCTTTTGTAATGATAACATCCACTCACCTGTTTCCCTTACAAGTGTCTGACTCTCTCTCTCTCTCTCTCTCTCTCTCTCTCTCTCTCTCTCTCTCTCTCCCCCTCTCTCTCTCTCTCTTTTTAGACAATGTTACTATACAATTATTTCTATTAAAGTGACAATGAAAATTAAGGTAGTGTGTCCATCTATGTCTGATGATAACAAATGCGAAGGAGATTAAACTTTACAGGGGGATGGAAGAAATATCGACTGAGTTGTCTTGTGCTTTTCTGCCTTACCCTTGAGCTGGATTCGAGCGGACAAGAGTTTCCTACCTCTGGGGAATTTAAAGTTTTTAGAGTTTCTGTCCATATGTAGATATATGCCGCTACTACTACTACTACTGATGATGTCATCGTGGATAGTGAAAAAAATGATCAACTCATCGAAGTTAAACTTCATCGTTGGGACCTGTGACAAGAAAAGGTGCTGGGACCCGAGAAAAAGATCCATTTATTCGATCAACGCAAGTGGAATCGTCGACTGAACTGTAGTTCACGCGATACCTACTGCAATATAAAACCTGCTAGTTAGCTATTAAATTACCCCAGCAGACTCCACAGATACTCAGAAACGTCTCTGGGCATAGTGCAAGAACGACGAAAAGCTAAATAACTGACCATGCAGTCTAATAGCCGGGTGCCCATTCCCACCTGGGTGAAATAAATTAGAAAAATTCATGTAAAATACCCTTGGTCCGTGGTAATCAACGCCAGGCCCCTGATGAGGTTCACGCCCATCTTATCATTTATATGACTTATTAGTACAGGCCCTCAATGATGATGATAACATTAATTGTTGTGGTCCTTTAGATTCATACCCATTATAGAACCCTTGGCCCCGATCCATCCACAGACAGACTCTTAGATCTAGCTGCTCGTCGACCAGGCTCATCTCGCGAGGGTCGTAGAGATATGTCCCCCAGATTCCAAGAAAATAACAGAAATTAATAGGTCTAAATACGGTGAATCAGAAGGTGGAAAACAAAAATAGCTGGAGTGTTGGCTATAGTGTATGTATTCACGTCGACAAGACTACATACATGATGTATTATTATGGCTTATAGAACTGCATAAATACAGTGCGTGTATAGTGTATAATTGTGCCAGCACTAACACCTGGAGCGTAACAGTTGGGGTACAGAACGACGGCGCCAACGCTACAAGGGGTTTCATTATCCCCAAAGTATCTTCCCAATAAACCGCGAATAATGGATAATCGTAAGGTTACGTTCTTTTCTTGGCGTGCATAGGCTAAGTACTAAGTGCATGGACATATTATTTTAACATGTCGCCTCAGGCACAAGGCACCCAAGCCCAAGCCCTCAACACTCAACCCTCAACCCCGCCCCACCCCTTCCACTAGAGGTGTGCGAGTAACGAGTCCAGACTCGAGTACTCGAGTAATACATGCAGCGAGTCCAGACTCGAGTCACAAGTAAATTACTCGAGTAGGGACTCGAGTAAGGACTCGAGTCCAGACTCGAGTCTGTAGGGGAAAAAACAGAAAAAAGGAGAAAAATTTGGGTTTTTTTAAAGTTAAAAAAAGATAAAAGAAACA